ATTCAGAAGTGGAAAAGATGAGGCTTGTTTCTGCTCTGTCCCTGAACAATCTCAAAAACTAGGCATTATCCAAATGCCTATGGGACTGATTCTCTTCTGTGAACGAGAAAAAAAGAATCCTCCTTCTCAGATGAGGTATGTCCCAATCCACAGAATTGGTTGGTTCTATATCCAAAATAATGTCTCACCCACTTCTTCCATCTCCAAGGCCACTTTCCTGATCCAGCCCTTCTTATCTCCCACTTGAATATTGGACTTACTTCCTAATTGGTCTCCAGGTTTCTATTCTTCCTCCTTTCATTCAATTCATCCTTCACACAGAAGCCAGAGGGTCTTTAAAACTCCAAACTGCACTATATTATTTTCATACTTAAAACCCTATAATGGCTTCTTCAGTTTCACTTAACATAAAATTCAAATCTATAATAGTTTGCAAAGACCTGTGTGATCCTTGCCCCCGTATGCAGTATTAGCTCCTCCCACCCTCATCTACTCACCTTTCTATCCATATTTCTGTTCTAACCCCATGATTCTGCAGGCCTTGGGTTCTTATCACTAGAAGCCTGGTGCATGAAATTTGTGCACTTGGGTGGGGTATGCAGGGGGGAGGGGGGAGAGGTCCCTCAGCCGGGATTGCGAGAGGGCGCAGGCCAGGCTGAGGGACCCGACACATGCATGATCAGGGCCGAGTAGGGACATGGGAGGTTGGCCAGCCAGGGAGGCACCACGGAAGGGCTCCAGGGCATTTCTGGCTTAGAGTTCACATTGCCTGTGCCCAAGGATGCTTTGAGATATGCATTGAACAGGTCTCACCCACACTTCATATCCTCTTTGCTGGGAAAGAATGGTGTCATCATAGGTATGTGTATCATTGCCCCAGACTTGGCGCTAGGAGGAATGGGGAGTTGCTAATCAATGGATTTAAAATTTCAGTTATGCAAGATGAATAAATTCTAGAGATCTGCTAAATAGCATTGTGCTCCCAGATGACACTATATTGTACAGTTAAACATCTGTTAAGAGGATAGATATTATATTAACTGTTCTTACCACAATAAAAGAAAAATATCTCTAGCATACTGTCTCTTATGGGTCCAAAGAAGATCAGAGTTAAGACACTAGAGATTAACTTTGGTTATTTTCACACTATTTTGAGGAATTAAAAGGATTTGAACTTTTTTTATTACACAGGAAATCTAAAATATCAAGTAGATACGTGATGAATTAATGGGTTCATCAGGACAATGAGATCTTTATTGTTTGATGGAAAACACCCTTTTGTTTGCTGAAATCCTAAAGCACTTCTGTAGAAGGTGCTTTGTAGTTTGAGAAGAATCACTTGGAAACCAGTGATGTACTTCATGAACACCTTATAGCTATAGAGTCATATTGAATTGTCTCAGTCTACAAAGGTAGCTGGTTGCATAATATCAGTTTTACTTTTGCATTTCTAATCTTTATTATACACTCCATGGTGTCTCTCTAGAGCCACTGCACCTTAGCACTGATCCTTATCTTAAAAATTGCTTCTGTTATGTTACAAATTCTTATCTCTGAATAGAATTACTAGCTGGACATTTGCAACAGCATGGATGGACCTGGAGAGTATTATGCTAAGCAAAATAAGCTAGTCAGAGAAAGATAAGTATCACATGATTTCACTCATGTGATGTGGAATCGAACAAAATAAACTGATGAACAAAATAGATTCAGAGACATAGAAGCATGGAATAGACTGTCGAACTCTGGAGGGAAGGCAGGGGAGGGTGGGTGTGTGGGAAGAGGTCAACCAAAGAACTTGTATGCATATATGCATAACCAATGGACACTGACAATAGGGTGGTGAAGGCCTAGGTTGGGAGGCAGGGGTGGGCTAGAAGGGAGCTAATGGGGGAGAAAGGGGGTCATGTAATATCTTAACTAATAATAGACAAACATGTAAATTGACTATCCCTCCGCTACACTTACCAGCCAATCAGGAGAGTATGCAAATTTACCCAACAAAGATGGCGGTTAATTTCCATAAGCAGGCGCGGAGCGAAGACTGAAGGCTCCGGCTGGAGCAGGCTGAAAAGGCTTCACTTCTCCGCTGTGGCCGGAGCGAAGGCCTGGGTCCTGGGTGCCAGAGGAAAACTGGTGCCGGCAGCCAGGGGAAGGAAGGCCTATTGCACGAATCTCTTCATGCAACGGGCCTCTAGTCTTCAACAATAAAGATTAAAATGGGGAAGAAAAACAAAAAGAATTACTAGCTGGGACACAGGTGTCCTATCACTTACTGTTAGTTCCATTTCTTGATACGGATACTAGGAAGGCATTTCCCTGCATAACCAAGTAATGCCACTGGGGTCATTAGGGCCGAAGGAGGGTGCTTTTTCAGTACCTTAATAACTGCGTGACTGGGGAAAGTGAGCTGCCTATAATAGCTATCATTAGTTGCTCATCAGAACAGCCCTTTGAAAAAAGAATCTTTTTAGTAAATATGCCAAATAAGTTATTCTCCCTTCCTATAGTGGACACACCCTAATGAGCTCTTGTACAATCCCTAATCCTTGAATGTAGGTGGAACCTATGATTTTATTTTCGCCAATAGAATATGGCAAAGATGATGAGGAAAGTCACTCCCTGGCTACATACATAATATAAGACTTCATTTTAGCACACTAGAGAGAGATTCTTCTGCTGACCTTGAAGAAGTAAGGTGCCATGTTGCATGAGAGCCTGTGACAGGCCCATACACATGGCAGGGAACTAAAGGTTGAAAACAACCCCTGGCTGACAGCCAAGAAAACAGGTACCTCAATCCTACAATCATAGCAACTGAATTCTGCCAATGACTATGTGAATTTGAAAGAGTTCTCCAAGATACAGAAGGGAACTTGGTGAGATTATCTCATGGGAGGACCCAGCTAATCCATGCCTGGACTCCCAACACAAAAAATGTGAAATAATGAATGTATGTTGTTTTAAGCTGCTACATCTGTGGTAAGTTGTCATGCAACAGTAGAAAACTAATGCACTTCTCTCTGGGCTCTGTCTAACCCCTTCACTAGTTCTTTCGACTTGTTTAGAAGAATCTTGTTTCATTAATTATCCTCTCATTTTCCTTTATATTAGAACTTTTCTTCTAAATTGGTACAATTCCCCCTCAACAAATGAAATATCTCACTTCTCACAAATCAAATTGTTTTCTACCTAAATGTTTATCTAAAATAGAACTTTACTTGAACGCCTAACTCCCTCTCTTGAGAAGAAACTGACACAGTATTTCTGTGTTTCCTTGAATGTCGCTATTTAAAGGAAGAGTCTGTCTTCTACTTTCTCACTTTCTATCATTCCTCAATCCACTGAAGTCTGTCTTCTGCTCTCACTACTCCTCGTGGGGAAATGAACTCCAGACACTCATACAGTATCACACTGCCTAATTAGCTAATGCTTAGATGACCCTAGGTGCCTCCAACTAAAATCTCCAAAATAAACTCATTATCTTCATACTCTACATTAGTTATTCATTGCATAATAAATATTTTTACAACATATGATCCCCAGATGTATTGGCTTAAAACAAACATTTCTTATCTCGCAGCTTCTGTGGATCAGGAATATGGACAAAGCTTAACTAGGTGACTCAGGGTCTCTTTAAGGTTGACAACTAAGAGTGAGCTGAGCCTGTGGTCATCTCTTGACTGGGGAAGGATCCACTTGCAAGCTCATTGCTTTGGTAAACCTCAGGAGATCACTTCCAAACTCACTCATGTGAATTGAGAGCCTCAGATTGTTTAGAGACATCAGTTCCTTGCCACCTTGCCATGTTGGCCTCTCCAGTGGGTTTCTCTCAACATGGCAGCTGGCTTTGCTCAGACTGAGGAGAGAGTGGAAGTGGGGAGAAGAAACTGATAAAGAGGACAAACAAGACAGGAATTACAGTCTTATATGTAATCTTGGAAGAGACATCTCATCACTTTTGTCATCAAATGGTTCGGCCTTTACTTCCTCATTCAGGGGGAGGGAATTTTTGGGAGCCATTGTAGAGGCTGCCTACCACACACCCAAACTGTCTGCCTTCCATAGTCTCTCTCTCTGTTTATGGAATCACAATCCTTCCAGCTGTCTCATCCAGAACCTTGAGAATAATCCTTAACCTTGAGTATAAACATTTTTGTACTATTCACATATATTATTTTTCAATCCTCACAAACCTATGGAGTAGGCATTACCACCATTTTATACATGAAGAACTGAGTTATGGAAGTGAAATAATTTGCATGAGTTTGCTGTAAGAACCTTATATAACAACTAGAGGCCTGGTGCATGGATTTGTGCACCGATGGGCTCCCTCAGTGTGGCCTGCGGGGATCGGGCTGAAACCAGCAGTCCCAACACCACCTGCTGCTCCTGCTCATCCCGGCCCTGCTATGCCTGTTGCCGCCACTCCTTAGGCTCGCTGCCGCTCCACTGCGGTCTCTCAGCTGTGGCGGCCAGCTGTGAGCCCTGCGTCTGGCACCGTTGGTCAGCTGAGCAGTGCTCCTGCTGTGGGGGTGCACTGACCACCAAGGGGGCAGCTCCTGCATTGAGCATCTGCCCCCTGGTGGTCAGTGCACATCATAGTGACCGGCAGAATGGTCCAACGGTTGCTTAGGCTTTTATATATATAGATATATTTTAAAGGGTTTTATAAACTCTAAAGCACTCTACAAATATGAGTTATCATTATTACCTTTTGCTTTTGTTTTGAGTCTCTTCGTCTCCCCAGCCTTATCCCAGTTCACTCATGCTTCATATAGAGACAGGGGGAAGCATAATTCCAAGAAAAGGAGGGAAGGTAATAATATTAAATGGCTTCCAAGGGATCTGAGCAATGTATTCAACAGGCTGGATTAGTCCAGCTCACCAAGGTGGCCATTCCCTAACTGGTCTCTGGGGCCCACCACATGTTACTTTATGGCATGAGACAAGCGATGACACAATTTAGTGTTGGTGTTCTGCCTCATTGAAGACATGGCATTGTCATCATTCACTTTGGAGACAGCTTGCAGTACAGAAAGAAATCATGTCAGAAAAGGAGAGTCTTTCAACATAGTTTTATCCTGAGGGAGGGAGAGGGAAAAGGACCAGAACAAGTGGGCAATACTGACTTCTGACTTCACCCTTCATCGGCATTCCACAGGCTGACTCTGAGCTGTCATCCTCTACCTGTGAGGAAGAAGCAGTGGGAAAGTGATACTTTACATTACTTCCATGATTTCTGATATCTAAAGTTCTTTTATAGAGTCTTTTCTCATAATCCCCATAATTAATCATGAAGGAGACAGGGTAGCTATAATTATTTTTATTTTACAGATTAGGATTCTTGGATTTATTGAGTTTGAGATTTACTGAGGGGCCTGGTTAACATGAAGTCAAATGAATTGAGTGCCTCTTTACAGATTATTTTTTGCATACATTATTTTATGAACTGTTCACTATAAAACTGTCACACATTATTGTTATCCTCATTTTTCAGATGTGAGAGTTAGAGCCTAAGGAAATAAAGTGTCTTACCTATGGTCATGCTGCAAGTATATGGTAGAGCTGGATTTGATATTAAAGTCTTTTAATTTTTTATTTCCCAAATTCTTTCCAATAAGCAAATGATATACTTAAAGAGAGTAAATTTGGAGTTCTAAGTCTGGTGACCTAAAAGAGAGGAGAGGAGAAAATAAGGAGCTTGTAAAGGATTAGCAAGAAGGAAATAGTATTGGGAAGAGAGAGGCAAATGTATCATTTAGGAACCCATTGGGATCCCCGAAAGTCATTATTTGGATTTAAGTTCCCAAGATAGGATAGGATGATACTCCCAAGTAAAGCATGAAGGAAGTCAACTGTGTTTTCTATTGTTCAGTCCCCGAGTCATAATCTCAGAGGAATCTCAGTCCTAAAAAGGCCCGCATGGAACATGAGGCCATGAGAATAATTCCTCCAAGGAAACCCTGAAACACAAGATAAAATGTACCTTGGGTTGACTGTTCACACATCAAAAGAAGGTGAATGTATGGGCAATTACACAGTTTTTAGTGCCTACATTTACCAAATAAATTTAGGGTCCAGCTCTTGCTTCACCCCTCAACCTTTTTCTTTTAGTTTAAAACCAGCCCAAGAAAAGCCTGCAAGGAACGACTTTATTTTGTTTTCAGACTTTAAACCCCAGGGAAGATAGAACTTGTTCAGACTCTTAAGGCTCTAACTATAAGTGTGAAAATAAAACAGCAGGTCTAAATGTAATCATGTGCTTGAAGCTAAGCAAAGGCCAAACTGAAAGCTTTTAAAGTGAAATCCCTTAGTGCACTACAGCTCAAAAACATCCCAGCAGGTCATTTGCGTTCTCCAAAAATATTTGCTGTAGGCTTGAAATCAGATCTGAAAACTGTTGCTCAAACATGTAATAATGGAAGAATGTTTAAGCTACCTGGCCTGTGTGGTTGAACCTTCAACTAGCTCAGCTTCTCTTACTAAAGGACCCCAAAGACTCTGCCTTTGCCTTAAGTCACTGCCCCACCCCCTGGGGTGAAAAATGATATCCTGCCTTCATTTGCTGACGAGGAAATTGAGATGTGTGCCGGTTAAACTACCCAAGACCACACAACAAGTCTACAGGAGAGCCAAGGCTGGCCCTCCCTTAACCAGCTCATGCTCACAGCCACACTCTCAGACCAAATCTCAGCTTTACTCACCTCAAAAAGAGGAATTTAAATACAAGCCTTCGCTTGAACATGTCTCCCAGGCCACCATTTTATTTTTTACTCCTTTTGCTTTTCTGAACAAAATTATCTATTTCCTGACCATCAGCAATGTGCTGTGTGCTGGTTCAATACTTGGAGGGTGTTAGGAGTTTTGTCCCCCAACCCTTACATTCATATGTTGAAGTTCTAGCCACCAGTACCGCATACTGTGACTATTTGGAGATAGGGTTTTTTAGAGAATAAGTTAAAATGAAGTCATTAGGTTTGGTCCTAATTCAGTATGACTAGTGTCTTATAAGAACAGACACAGACAGAGAGAGAAGGGAGAGCTCGTGAAGACACAGGGAAAAGACAACCATCTATAAGCCAAGGAGAGAGATCTCAGAAGACACCCACCCTCTGACATCTTGATCTCAGACTTCTAGCCTCCAGAACTGTGAGAAAATAAATTTCTATCATTTAAGCCCCACAGTCTGTGGTGCTTTGTTATGGTAGGCCTAGCAGACTAATATACCAGTAGATGCTGACATATTAGGGAAACTTTGTCCAGATAACCCAGATCAAATGGAAATGCAAATTTTAGTTATTTGAGCCAAAGTCACTCTTAGGGGAGAGAAAACTTTTTTATGTATAGAACTTTACCCTCAACTGACATTTAAAAAATACATTTTTTTTATTGATTTTAGAGAGGAAGGGAGAGAGAGAGAGAAATGAAACATAAATGATGAGAGAGAATCATTGATTGGCTGCCTCCCACATGCCCCGAATTGGGGATTGAGCATGCAACCCAGGCATGTGCCCTGACTGGGAATCGAATTGTGACCTCCTGGTTCATGGGTCAACACTCTGCCACCGACCAACACTGAGCAGGTACCCTCAACTGACATTTTATAAGTACCGCGCACTAACCGATTGCGCCACTGGAGCTCCAACTCAACTGACATTTTAATCTTGGTATAGTAAGGTTAGACAGAACCTTTGACACAGATTTGAGGGGGGAAAATAAGTCACAAAGGTGGCAGTAGTGTAGGTAGAAGTGATCCCTCAGATGAAGACCTAGGGAGCTGATGAGGTTCATTATACCCCAAAGGCTGGTGTGCTTGTCTCCTCTCACACACTTCAGAGGAGGACAGAGAATTGAGGCTCACAACTACTGCTCTTGAGTGTGCATAGATGTGAGTTGGTGCTACTATTGATACCATTCCAAAGATAAGGAGGCTGAGGAAGAGGGGTCAAACAACCTGCCTAAGGTCACATAGTAGTGGCAAAACCAGAAATAAAACTCATACAGTCTGGTTTCAGAGTCAGGATGATGGTTAAAGTTATATCTATACCTGGGCAAAGCAGAAAGGGTGCCATGGCAAACTAATGACCATTTAAAAGGTCAGCTTGGCCGGTGTGACTCAGTGGTTGAGAGTTGACCTATGAACTAGGAGGTCACGGTTTGATTCCCAGTCAGGGCACATGCCCGGGTTTCGGGTGTGCAGGAGTAAGCCAGTAGATGATTCTCTCTGATTGATATTTCTATCTCTCTCCCTTACTCTCTGAAATCAATAAATATATCAGCTGTGCACCCACGACAAGAGTTGCATTATTTACTGTAGCACCCAAGGTTTCCCATCTTCTGTGGATCGAATCATTACATTTAGGAATTTGTTTCATTGATTATTAATCATTTTCTTGGGAAGGGTTTTGTTCGTACAGATCCTTGTAAGAAATACAGTCCATTGAGGGTGTTGGGTTGTTATACACTAGAAATTATCTGTTAGCACAGAACATTAATCTTGGTTCTGAGTTGGCATTGGCTGATTTTACCATAGAAAAAGAACTCAGGTTTAAGAGATATAGTCAACCTTAATGGAACTTAAATATATTGTCTGAAGGTATTATCATGATAATAGTCACAGTTGTATCCCAATAATATCTGTATCATCTTCTGATATAAGGTCATTTTTATTATTCATTTACTAGTACACCAAGGGGAAAGTTAGTAAAAGCATTCAAATGAGTTTGGAAATCAGAGGCTTCAAGATATCTGGACAGGGTTGGCCAGTTATGAACTGTGGTTCAAATGTGGCTCACTACCTGTGTTTATAAATAAAGTTTATTGGCACAGAGCCATGCTCATTTTGTTTATGTATAGCACAGTGGTGTGCTGGAGCTGGTTCACACCATCTTATGAGAGCAGATTGGTGAGTATTCAGGAATCTTTTAAGCTGGTTGTTAAATGTTTGGTAGCTTGAAATTGATCATTGTGAGAGTATTTACACTGCTCAAATTTGCAAATATTATAGAGCAGAGCTTTCTTTTTCCTTTCCTTTCCCTCTTCATTTCTTTCTTTTTCTTCCTTTCTTTACTGCCCCCCGCCCTGAGAAGTAGTTTACCAACATATTACTGAATGTATATAACATGAGACATTAAATTATTATGGACCACCTAAGAACAGTTGATTAATTGGTTTACTTTTCATTCAGTTGTGAGATGTGGCCTGTGAGTGCCATGCTTGAACAGAGCTACTCCCTAGCCTAGAAGTTTGCAGGTAAGAGGATCCATGGAAAGAAAACCATAGAGAAAAAGAGTTCCTGACTTTCTGGGGTCTCCAGGATCCTGTACAAACTGATGCTCCCTCTTAAGAGTGAAGATGACAGAAATTTTGCCCAAAGCCTCCGGAATAAATCTTTAGGGTGTGGTGGGTGGGTGTTATGCAGAACTATAGTGGTCACAGAGCAGTGTGACAGAGAAAGGAAACTTGGGAGTATCTCAGCGAGAGAAAGACTAGTCAGAAAGAGCAAAGGAGTGATAGACAAAGAAAGGGAAGATAATGTAATAAAAATAATAGAATGAGGATGGGGTAAACTTCAAGGGAAAATTCAGTGATAGTAATCATCTGGAATGTTATACTTCACAAAAAGCGGAGAGAAACACAAATTCCTGCGTCCCATCACAGACCCATGGAATGATGACAGGGGTCAAGGAAGTTGTTTAACAAGGGCCTTAGGTAATTCTAATCATGGAGAAAATTTGGGAAAAATGAGTTGCTATATGTGAAAATACCTTATAATACAGTAACAAGGACATAATTGAAAAACATTGAATGAAAGAACCATCTAATGACCAGGTGATATTCAATAATTACAAGTTTCTTGGCACAATCATCCTCTCACATATTCAGGGAAATAGTATTAATACCTGTTACCACTCCGCACTTAGGGGAGGATTAGTGTCTGTTAGTGGAGTTTGCTCTGAACTTTCTGGATGGTAAGTGCTGTGTAAACTGCAGCTGCTAGGTTTATTAGTTCATTGGAAGTAGGCAGGAAGGGTTGAGAAATATTTATCTCAGTGAGTTACTCTCTGAGTTGTGTGCATAGGCTGTAGCTGTAAGAGGATAGGCTCTGCTGGGGAAAGAGCAGGAGGGAAGAGCAAGGACTGCAGTGCCCAACAGTTGATCTTAGAGCTTCATGGCCCAGGCAGTAAAGAGGCAGAGCCATCCCCACTCTGGAGATCAGTAGGTCCTGTCCCATTGAAAAATGATTGCAGGAAGAAAGGATGCCTGGGATTTCCAGGTGAAATAATCTGGTCCCCAGGAAGAGGATCATTTTTTATGGCCCGGAACACCCCACTGACAGTTGTCTCTGGGGTGTCATGAAGAGGGATGAGGCTCAAAGATAGGCATTCTGGCTTTCACCTGTCGCCATCAGCAGCACATGATGGGCAGGTGAAGACCACTCACACCATGTTCTGCAAGGGTAGCTCTTTGCTTCAAAGAAGGTCTTAAAAACATCTGCCAGTGGGGAGAAAGTCTGCTCTGTGCAAGTGCTAATAACAGTGCCTAGGACAGACATTCTCCTTTCTCTGCCAAATTCATTCTTCACCTGCTTCCAAAATCCAGTTAAGATCCCCTGCCTTTGAATGCCTTCTGACTCTTCCTGTCTGTTTTCTTCTCTTCCTTGGATTCTATTCGGTTCTTGGAACATAGCTCAATTGAGTGGCCATGGAACAGTTTAAAAACCATGGATATAAAAGCCAGCCTTCTTGGTTCCATGTTTTGAATATTTCACATTATTATCTGTTTTTATATAAGATTGTGTGCATATATTTTCACTTCATTTGTTACTAACAAATCATTGTATAAAGAGGAACAGTGTTCTTTACTTGCCTATGGCCCTCTCCTAATGGAACAGGCAAATAAAGTTTATTCTTCATTATCTGGAAGGGGCATGATGTTTATAACTCCTAACACGATATGATTAAAAACATGATATGCTTAAAACTCTAGTTGTTTAGTTTGGTCTGATATTACATTAAATGTTTCCATAAGTTTCCATACTGGCTAGAAGGTAGAGAATAGCTATCAGAAACATCCTGTAGAGTAGAGAGAATCTGTGACTAAAATGTAATTGGAAGTTTATGTTGGCCATGGAAGAGTTACAAAATGAAAAATTCACTTGAATATCAAGAATTAACAGTAACAGGACGTGGCTTCCTCTGGGAAACGTATAATAATAATAACGAAAGATTTAAAAATGTAGGAGGAATTCCTGTTCACTAGAAGAAATGTTTTACATGAAACTTGGATTTTTCCTAGAGAGTAGAAAAGTAGTACAATAAAATCTCCATTATTCAGAATATATAATTGTTTGCCCTAGAAATGTTCTAATGTTCATCTTTGTCCTATCATTGAAGAACAAATTGGATAAAAATGTGATAGAAATATCACTTTGAAATATTAAAATTGGTGAGAAAGTGTTTTGAAAAAATGTTTAATTACATTTAAAGGTTTATTCTAAATCATCTTTAATTTTTCATTATGCAAAGATTCTTAGGAACATAGGTACTTGAAATAGTTTTTGTCTTATTATTAGAAAGAATACAATTATGCACTTTAAAAAGCTTCTACAATTTAGCCTTCTCACTATCAAATTCGCCTTCCCCAAATTACCTTGTCTTTAGTGTTTTTTCCAACTCTTTCCACACTTAGCTTAGTATCATAGCAAATTCGAAATTGGAAGAAATCATATAATGATAGTAATGGTGATGATGCAAAAAACCCAGAGAATTGCCCTAACTAACCTAATTATGCTTGGAAATAATACTAAACTTTTTAGTTTCTGATAATTTGATTTCTTTGGGACTGTTATGAATTTTTAGAATGGTTGATTTATAGGATTAATAAAATAACTCTGGGACTTGTGTAGCCTGAAGTCCCTGTTCTTTTTTAAGGATTAGAGAGTTTGGTGAGTCCCTGTGGGAGAGCTGATCCAGCTCATGTCATATTGGATGGGAGGCTTGTGATAAAGAGGGTGAAGAAGGAAGGGATGTAGATTTCATCATTGCCCAGAATTAGCTTGAGGAGGGATAACTTACAGCATGCAGCTAACCAGAGGCACCAAGATCAAAGGCTGATTGCCTTGTATCCAGGAAGCACAGGACTGTGCAGGGAAGAAAGAGGAAAGCAGATGTTAAAATCAAAGAAATCTGAAAAAGGTTTGGTAAATGGCTTAAATGGGCCACAGGGGACATCTTCATAGTAAAAGTTGAGAGGAATCCTGACAGGTTTGGGAGATTAGTTGATTTCTTTTTTCTCATCTCTTTTTTTGCTCCTCACTCTTCTTTTACCCTGTCCCCAAAGGACCAACAATTAATTGACTAAACCACAAGCGGTCCCTGGGTAGATGTTGACTTTCATCACTTCTCCTTCCTCCTCTATCAGATGGGCTGAAGATGGTGGGCTACAATGAAAAGCAGGTTATGCCTTAGAGCAGAGAAAGGTAAAACTACAGAGACAGATAGCTCAGAGAGAGAGAAAGAGAGGTGGAGCTGGCATTTACAATTTAACAATACACCCAAAAACCTTTCCTAATAATCCTAAGAGATCCTGTAGATCTCTTGTCCCCTCTGGGCATCTGTGTTCCAGCCCTCTCAATAAGTTAACTAGGAGAAACAGTATGGAAGGGAATACTCTCCTGTCAGCTACTCCATTCCTCCCTTATTGCCCTGCCGCTGAAGATGAGGGCAGTGCAGAGCAAAGAATCCTGATTTTGCCCAGCCTGGGTGGCTCAGTGGTTGAGTTTTGTCCTATGAACCAGGAGGTCACGGTTTGATTCCTGGCCAGGGCACATGCCGGTCAGGGTTCAGTGCCCTGTGTGGAGCGTTCAGGAGGCAGCCGACCGATGATTCTCATCATTGATGTCTCTCTCTCT